TATGCTGCTTAAGCTAATGTTATGTCAACCTTAGAAGGCGGGCACGCTTGTGTGTGTGGCCTCCTCCTAGATGCTTCCTGATAACAAAAAGGTATAAAAGCTGTTGTAAACTGTTTTAGGGTGTGGCTGTTCTCTGTCTTCCCTCTGCCAGTCGGATAGAGAGTGGTCCACCCTGCTTTTCTCTTGGCCAAAATAAAAGCTGAACTTTCTTTGGAAAAAACTCGGTTTAGAGTCTCATTGGAAAGTATAGATTCTGGGCTATAAAACCTTACAGCTCTAAACAAAGCATGATTTGTTGTTTTATTCCACCAGGCTTTGTGGAAACAACAAAAAAAGCTATTTTCAATACTAGTTTGCAACTATAGTTTGTCTCAAAAAAGAAGAGGAGCAATGGCAAGGTGGAGCTTACAGATCCAAGGCTAAGCCATACTGTTAATAGATTTACTGTGTTATCTATGGAGTCCTTGGGGTTCTCTGATCTTGGGTCAGGCTATGGCTAAGGAGGAACACCTCAATAACAGTCTGTAACTATGGTTTACTGCCTTAGCCACAATCCAACAAGTTGTCCAAACCCAGATGGATGGCAAGCTGAGTCCTCCAGAAAAACCATGTGGATTCAGGCACATCTGCAAAGGAGAGCTGTTCTTACACCATGTAGAACAGCTCCCACACCGAAGAGAACCTGTTATGTCAAGCATAGATCAGGCACCTCCTGAGGCCACTAAGAGAATGACCAAATGTTGGCTGACTTTAAAAGCAGGGAGGAAAAAAATCTAGAATTTAAACCCAGGAACACAGCCTACTGACTCTAAGGGCTTCGATTTCTGCATACTGCAATGAACAAATCTTCTGTGAGTACATGGCTTCATTCCTATCTGCAGTACGGAGAATAATTGTGCTGACTAAGCCGATTCCTAAATGAGGGGTTAAATATCAGAAGAACTGAAATTTACAGCTATGCCTCTGTGAAGCCTGACAGCTAGATTTATCCTTTTATACCCCCATCACTGTAAGAAGAGAGCTCTTCCCTAGTGACCAAGGATTAGACTATGGTTTCAAGTGCTCTGGCAATCTTAATATCACCATCAAATTGCCAATATTATGCTCCAGGATCAGATGCAACTGTTTACCCCAATGGACCAGTTAACCTAGACAATGAACCATCTAGCTCAGAAGGAGGTTGGAATCTACCATAATCAAAGGACCTATACCAATTCCAGCCCAAGGTAATAAAGGTGTAGGAGAGGAAAGTGCAGAAGCTGCAACTCTCAAACACTGAGTAACCTCCATCCTTGCCTGACAAATAGGATCGGAATCCAAGCAAATTTATGGCCTGCTTCGCGTAATCTGAATTGGACATCTCCCTGAGACCTGAAGATTTTCCCAACAATAATACCGACGTAGGATTTATAATTGGCATATGGCAAAGGGAGCTACAACCTTTCTGATTTGAAGCAGCTCAGACATGGACAATTGTGCTAATTTTGTGGCATGCCTAAGAGCTAAATTTGATGAACTGGACAAGCGTACGATTGCTAACAATGAAATCCATTGCCTCCAACACAGAAAGTGTTTGGGGTGGGAGTATGCAGCTGAGTTTCAGCTGTTAACTCAGGATGTGGGCTGAAATGAAAGAGGCTTAATTGACATCACTACACAAATTCTGTGAATTATGTCATTTGCATCAATTTACTTCATTTGTGTAATGTCATTACACCAATTATGTAAATCAAGGTGAATGATGTAATTTAATATTTTATTGCTATCTGGGATGACGAACCCCACACCCCAAATGGTCAGTTAGATCAAAATTTCACTTAATTAAAGTTCTCTGAAAATGGAAGTGCTTGCAGTAGGGATTTAGTTTCTTTTAAGGTAGAGCAGGCTGAATAAAATGCCAGATACCATCTTGATGTATAGAATTCTATACTGTCAAGGTTCTACCTACTATTTGTTGCTTTTTACAATTCGTTGCTTTTTAGACTACGCTGAAGATTTCTAGAACAGGAGGGAACCAAAGTAGCAAAGCAATTGATCAGCATATGGATCTGCCTTCTCTTTCTGCCTTGTCACTGCCCTAGGGAGAACATTCATCTTCAGTGACAGGTTGATCAACAGGAGATCTGAAGACGGCTGAGTCTAGGAATGCACTGAACCTCCACATTGTAGTAATACACATGTGAATTTGTTCTTCTATAGCCAGGTCTCCACCAGTATGGAACTTTGAGGGCCATGGGTTTGGGTCTCCTCCACTGGATGGGAACCAAAGGTTTTGTAAAAAAAACAGGTAGATTATGCAAGACTGAAGTCTGTCACAATCGCTTCATCCCGTTGACTTATTGTATGGGTTGGACAAAAAGCTAGTACAGGTTCAAAGACCAACTGTGGTGATCCAGGTTCAAGTTACTAAATTTGGCAAACATCTACATATGATCCTCATCAAGTATAGCTCATGAAATAGCTATACATGTTGTGCCTCATGTTGTGCCTCTTTCCTCCACCTGGTTCCCTTCCTCTTTTTTCTTCCTCTACTACTGTATTGTAGTTTAGACTATGAGCTCTTGCTAAGTGTCACACAAAAGCACCAGTGCAGTCAGGAGGAGTTAATGATCTCAAAAGGATGAGTGCAACTGGGTAAGCAATGCCCTGCCTTTCTATTGTGTGTTACACACTTCACATGCATGTTGAAAGGAATGGGGCCTTGATCACTTATCATTTGATATTATTGACCCCCAAACACACAGAGAGATAACAATGATGTTATCTAAATGATACAAATATATATTAAGAGTCAGAATTGTGCTAATTGTTATTTATTTATTAGTGTGTCTTGACTTCTGGAAACTGGCTGGGGAAGTCCCTGAAGTTTTCTTGGCAACATTTTTGGATGTGGTTTACCACTGCATACTTCTAAGGGCTGAGAGAGGGGGACTGGCCCAAGGCCACCTGCCCACCTTCATGCCTAGGGAAAGACTAGAACTCACAGTTTCTTGCTTTCTAACCTGGTGCCTTTAATCACTACACCAAACTGGTTCTTGTTATGCAACTTATTTCCAGATAAATGTTTATAATCTTTGCTAATCTACACAAAGGAATTTGCAGCAGCACTGATTTCGAATCACTTTGC